GATTTTCAGTATTACTCGGGGTCTTCAAGAGTGAAGTCAATCAGCCTGGAGTTCTTCCCATTAATTAATTTTTCCTCTGGGCAGTGTATTTCAATAACTCGACCAATAACATCTACAAAACAATGGATTAGATGATATAATAATAGTAAAATTATTAACTATTTGGAAAGGATAGACTGAATGAGATAACAGATTACCAAATAGGTGTTTCTCATCAAGGCCTTCAATAGACTTGATCTCTTTAAAGGTCTTCAGCCGATACATTTTCATAGGAAACTTCACATGCTTTAAATCCTTAACCATAGTCTGATAGTTAAATTTTATCATGTACTTCTGTGGGCTGGTTTCAACATACTCCTTGGGTACATGAGCATGCAAGAAGGAACCATGTGTGTTTGTAAATAACAAAAATAGGACTGTAAATATATATCTAATCTAGGTGTATAGATAACATAGATTAACATATGCATCACTGTAAATGTAAAAAGACTGTATGTAAGGCTATTTAAAAAACTATTATAGATAATCTGGACTTCTTATCTCTATCTAATGTTAAATGTTCCTTACCTCTTCATCATGGAAAACAATTTCTTTTGATCTAATCTTCGATGGATCATTCCTCTCAGGAATCTGATATGCTCGGACCACCCTTAGCCTAAGAGCCTGCCTGGTATTCATCGGAGATATTTGGCTCGCAAGTACAAACATTTTGTAGAAGGGAAGAAGAATCAGAGAGTATCTCTATCTATGGAAATTTCGAATGTATTGAGTTGAGTAGCTTTGTATATGGAGTATGTGATGTATATATAAGGTCTGATGACCTTTCGTTATATTTCCTTCGAAATAAACAGCTAGTAAATACCTAGAGAATATGCATGGGTTCGTGGGCTCAATCTCCCATATATCCCATAATAAATTCCTAGAGATTATGTATGGATTAAATACATTCTCCAATCCAATTGGATGGGAGAGTGATCAGCCGTAAATGTATTTAAAAAAATAGGTTTTATATAAACTGTAGTTATTATACTCAATAGGGGACCTTTGGTTTTTCGAAACTTTAACAATAAATTATTCGCCTTTGTCAAAACGTTGCCGTTTCATTTGGGCGGGATTTTTTTGATCCCTTTGTTTTGCTTTAATATAGATAGAGATTTGATAGCATTAAATTTGCCACGACAAAAGTAGTGTCAATTACATTCCTCATTAGAATTTGAGCATTTCTATTCACAACGCATTAACAATGAGGGAAAATGTTTTTTTTTTATTTTATTTTATCTCGATGTTTACTTTTATTAAAAATAATAATAATAATAATAATAATGGTTTTTTTTGGCAGTTTCCAAGATATTTTTAAAAATTATTTTAACATTCGTTTTATGTATTATCATATAATAGTACTTTTGTTTTTAAAAGCTTAACATTTACATACTATGAATATTAAAGATTATAGTGGAGATATTATTAAGAGATATATTCAAATAAGTAATACGTTTGAAATGTATAACTTAGTGAAATTGTATATTTTAATTTGCTTTTGAACATCTCTTTATACACAACATAGACCACTTATTTGAAGAAATTGCATGTTTCTTTTGAAAACTCATTAACATTTTAATTAATTATTATCAAATATTTTCTTATTCATTACTATTTTCATAAAATGTATATATAAATGTGTTATATCATTACGTTATCAATTCGATCTCAGAAATTCCCCTCAACTAGTTCTTTTTTCCTTAGCATTTTCCAATATTTTTCCCGTTCTCAACCGTTTTCTCGTCTCTGATTTTTTCTTTATACCATGATGATGCCGCTTGACCACGTCTTTAATTCATAAAACAGTAAAATAATTAAATATTTTATATTAATTAAATATCTAAAGGCCATTATTTATTATCATATTCTTAAAATAGTAGCAGTGCGGTGCTAATATACGAAGTAGTTGGGTTCAGCTAAACCCACTGAATAGCTTTACTATACGTACTCTTATAATAATATCAAATATTAGACATAAAGAAATAATGCACTAATGCAACTTCTTTTAAAAGTTACTTATTGTATAATATAAAAATACAATTGTCAAAAATTACAAAGAAGAGGAGTTAATAATAATAACAACAACAACTAATAATAATAATAATAATAATAATAATAATAATAATAATAATAATAATAATAATAATAATAATAATATTATTATTATTATTATTATTATTATTATTATTATTATTATTATTATTATTATTATTATTATTATTATTATTATTATTATTATTATTATTATTATTATTATGAGGTGACATCAAAATCAATAATAACAATGTGTTGGCATTCAACTAACTCAGAAAAAAAATATATATAAAGTGATGTCCAAATCAACCATGAATTTAAAGTTACAATATAAATTTTTGTTGTTTGAGAGACAAGAATTTTAATTTTTTTAATAAAACTAATTAGGGAATATATCTTATTTCACCAAAATATAAATTAAAACGGCTAAAACTCAATAATTGAAATCTTTTAAATACTCTTTTTCGGTTTTCCCAAAAATATTATGGTACTTTATCGTTATCCCAGAGATTTTTTTTTTTTTTTTAAGGTCCCAGAGATTATATTTTTTTTTTTGAAGGTCCCAGAGATTAAATTAACATAACACAAACTTAACTTAGGCAGAAAGTCAACAACAGCCAGGCTGTTAGCAATAATGTGTACACAGACTACGTAGTGCATTAGTGCCTAGAAGGTATTAACGAGGCCCCATGCAACACAAATTTTAAGGTTGGCCGGCGAAAATATTAAAAATATTATAAATTTATTACGTAATGGAAGACAAATTCTACCAAATGTTGTGTGATCCATAGTTTTTAATAACCTTTATTTATAAAATTTTTAACATATTAACGTACGATTAATCGTACGTTAATTTATAAATTTTTTGTCTAAAATTACCATTAATATAACACTAAATTAATAGGTCAAATAACATTTATTAATTAATAAATTTATAAAGATAATCTGATCTAACATCAAATTTTGTTAAGCCTGATTACATATTTCTTTAATCATTAAATCATGTAGACGCGGGTTTCAGGCACGACACAGGCGAGGCTACGTATGGCATGATAATAATAGCGTCAGATGGCTCTTTTGTGGCAGCAAGGAATGGCAAGTTACCGATTTGTTTTTCACCACTTATGGCGGAGGCCCAGGCATACAAGGAAGCACTATCCTGGCTACTTGAACGAAGCAACACATCAGTAAGTTTACTCACGGATTGCATGGAATTGGCTACGATTATTCGACGCCATCACACGCCGATCCATTCGTACGTTGGGGTCACAATCGACCAGTGCAGAACGTTTATGTCTTTATTTAATCGTATTACTTTGGATTACATCTCTAGACAGGTTAATTTACATGCGCATACTTTAGCTACGTTAGCATTTACACAGGATCAAGTTATGTACTGAGATGCTATCCCACCTGACGCTATTTCGACTTTGATTCATTAATACAATCGCAAGATTGACCTTCAAAAATTAGAACCACACCAATAATAATCGTGTTCGTGCTAAGTGGAACCTACGTACCCTTACTCAAGGATAGCAAAGCATTACCTCAAAATTTAAGCTAGTTGCATAGTTATAGAATATATATATATATATATATATATATATATATATATATATATATATATATATAAAAGATGAAATTCAAACTCTAAACTTTAACTTAGAAAACTGATCCCAATTTGCTTAGTTAATAAATGGGTAGGCCGTAGGCATGCATTTGATCCTGGCATTTGAAGAATTAAACAACTACCATTCTTGAACATAATTATACAAAATATTGTTTACCTTTTTCGTGTAATTTACTAGCTATTTCATAAGAGTGGTTTACCTAATCCATACTCTTAAATACTGCGGGCCTATGATTTCCTTCATTAACAGTATATATATATATATATATAAAAGGGATCGGGTGTGGGGAGGGCTTCTCGTGCGGTTGGGCAGTTGGATGTACATTAAGTATTAAACTGACGCACTTTAAGTACACAACACATGCACATTAAGCACACAAACAAAACACCTTCAAAACACAAACACACGCACTGCACCTTAAGCACAAAACTCACGTACCTTAAACACAAAGCACACGCACCTTAAGTTTCAACAACTACTCACATTAAGCACAAACCTCATGCACCTTCCTAAACGACTTTGGTGACCTAATGTAGTCCTAGACTTTTGTGTTTGTTTTTTTTTTTTTTCAATTTAGTTCTCCGTTTGTTATTCCGTCAAATTGGTGTCAAGGGATAATTCAATAATCTCAATATTGGCCTCTCTTTAATTACTTTTAGTCTGCGAAGTGCGAAATCCCTCTTTCTTTTACGAATTACTCCTAGACCTGCAAATAAAATTTTATATTCATAGGTTTGCGAGTAATTATTACGGGAGCAATTCGTAAAAGAAAGAAGGATTTCACACTTGGTAGACCTAGGAGTAAAGAGATGTCAATATTAAAATTACTGAAGTGTCCTTTTATTTAACACCAAACCAAATGTATGTACAGAATAACAAACGGAGTATTAAATTGAGAAAAACACCAAAATTTAAAACTACATTTGATGTTAAAATTTTACAATCGAGGACCATTTTGAGGATTAAGTCATTATTTATTAGTACACTACATATTAATTAGTATGTTAACCTGCATGCGTTCATATTAGTATTCGAATTGGAAATAGAAAAGTAGTTTAACAAACACGTATAGTACCGCTGCCAACTTTGTTAAATGTGCATGCAATGCTGGATACAGTCTGACAGTCTGTATGATTCTTGAACTTTAGCTGCACCAGATTATATTCTACCTTCTCTTTCTATTATTATTCAATTTTCATTTTTATGATGACACCTACCTACCTACCTAAAACTTGATCTATAAATACTTACCACTTCTCTTATATTTTCATCATCACTTCAAAATATATATACTTCTTCAGCTTTAGTTCTGAGAGACTATATTTTTTTTTTCTAGTAATTAAAGGATCGGAGAAACATGAGGAACTGGGTTGCTAGTTTTACTCTTTTTGCATTGCTGCTCTCCTCATCTTTCCTTGACATCGCAATGGCTGATTCAAGTAAGCTACTCTAATTTCATCTTACATATATTTCATTCCCAACTTATATTATTTATGTTTCTTGTTTTCTTTGTGCATAAAGATTTTAATTAATAATTATGCATGCAGTGAAGATTACCTCATGTATATATGTATGAATGAATATTTAACTCTCTTATTTTCAATAAAAAATTAAAAAAAAAATCTCTTTATAATTAAAGGATGTGTTATGTCTCAACTAAAAGTCTACAGTAACATTGTCTTGTATGGATTGATCTAATACCAAATTGGAGGATATGTTTAATTTTGTGTCTTGTAAGGATGTGTTTTGTGTAAAAATGTCAAATGTCTTGTGATCGAACGGCATAGCTGTGACCCTCATATTGTAATAGAGTCAATAGCATTCAAAAAAAAATAGTACTTTTAATGTAATTTCTATATATATGAATTTTATATACTAATATTAAACTTAGTACATAGTACTATGAAAATTAATTGAGCTAAAATAATTTCAGTCAAGTCTCGTTGATCGAATTAGACACAAAATATTAAAAAAAAAAAAAAAAAAAAAAAAAAAAAAAAAAGGACGAAGGGTATATATATATATATATATATATATATATATATATATATATATATATATATATATATATATATATATATATATATATATATATATATATATATATATTTATTTATTTATTTATTTATTTATTTATTTATTTATTTATTTATTTATAATTAAGAAGTTTATTTTATGGTTGGTGTGAAAATGGAAAGGTTTGTGCAAGTCGAAGTGTGAGGTGAGGTGCTCAAAAGCAGGGCTAAAGAAGCGTTGCTTGAAGTACTGTGGAATATGCTGTGAAGCCTGCAAATGCGTGCCCTCGGGAACTTATGGGAACAAGTCAGAATGCAAATGCTACAGGGACAAACTCAACTCCAAGGGGAAATCCAAGTGCCCTTAATTCAATTATATATATTATATTATTTCTATTTCTATGTCATGCTCATGCATGCTGTTTCATGTTATCCACAATAACTAAATAAATAAATTTACCATCCTTGTATCAGTTTAATCTCTGTGTATTTATGTATAAATTTGTGTACTCAAAGAAATATATATAAATTTGTGTGAATTAATGAATGAGTTCACAATTTAAACGCAAACAAAATCAACATGAGTGCACCCCTTTAAAATTCAGCACAATACGTAAGTGTACACATAATAGCACAAGTGTGCACATATGAACTCAAGAACAAGAACAACTAACAATTTAACATAAATGACAACATGCACACTAACAAATCAACAGTGCACAAACTGCAAACATCCTCACCAAAGCAACAAGCTACAAACATCCTCATCATCTCCTATGATTCCATAATATGTTAAGTGCACATAATCTCAATATCATATCTACAATGTAATGTAAATCCTAATCAAGATCCACAATGTAATGTAAACCCTGATCTATGGTATAATTTGCCGTTAATGTTACACCCATCCTCTTCCCCTTAACAAATTATTGAGGAAAACAAGTTGGGTGTCCCTTGGCCCAGATAGGTTTCAATCTCTAGCATTTGAGTTGTGACTTCCAAGTGATCCTCTTCTTTGATATAAAATAAATAATAAATAAATAAATAAATAAATAAAAACCTGTACCTTATAAAAGAGCTAACCATTTCACGTGTAACAATTGTGAAAATGATCACATGTAAAATATTTGGTAAAAAATTGTTTGATCTAAGTACAGAATTCCTAGGATTTTTACTAAGCAATCAATACAGCTGCGTCTAAATCTAACCAAAAAAAATTCTCTCATGTTACAAATTGGTATGGTTTTGTTCCACAAACAGGTACAAGCAAGCCTCAGGAAACAGGGTCAGTGAACAACAGCCGCGAGAAGCAATAAAGAAGTATGTAGAAACAGTGTTACCTTTTGATGAACATCATAACTCACCTGTCATACAAGCCGTCGGCCTATGAGATTTGGATAGAAACAAGCACTAGGAAAGACTACAGTTCTGATACCCTTTTCTCAATTTCTGACTGTCCTATTTACCAAAAAGTGGTACAAACAAATGCCAGGTTTTACCACCATCCAGGAAATCTGGCCCTTCCATCCCAAGTATCTCCACAAATTCCTTTGCAACTTGTTGGTTTTTGCCGTATAGAGATCCAGGATGCATATCATTGTGTAGCTATATATAAAATAAGGTTCTCAACCAAACTATAATTTCTACATCCATCACGACATAGTCTAACCAAGCAGATCTTTGAACAAGTTGGGATTCTCGGTTGACGGTGTAACTCCCATTTGTCTCACAAGAGCATCCTTTTCTAAAGCATCTCTTTGATTTGGTCCTTTGCTAAACGGTGTTGGCTGTGGAATTGTACTTGCTCGGTGACCATTTCCATCAGACATGAGATTCTCATTGCCAGGACTAGATGAAAGGTTGTTGTTCACAACATGAGGTTCTTTAGGAGAGCCAGCTCCAACAGAAACTGGAGCTGAAGGACCTTGGTTTAGGTCAACAAGACCTTCTAACTGTTTGAAAGGATCCACTAGTGGTGCACTATTACTAGGTAAGTTCCCCAAGTCAAGCAAGTCCGGAGGTGGCTGAGGAGCTGTTTTACCTGCACCAGTATCAGATGTTGCATTCTTGTCCATATGAAACTTTTCTGCTGCATGGTTATTTGCCATCAGAGACTTGTCACTGGAAGAACGGCTTCTTTCAGATGTTGATGTGCTCCCAAAGAGTGAAGCAGCAAGTTTTTTCTTTTCTGGGTCACTCTCTACCTTCTTCCTTCTTGAATCGTATGATGACTCACGTGCTTTTGAGTTCACGCTGCTCATGCCATCACTGTCTGTAGCTCCATTCTGAGTCTTAATAGCTTCAGAGTCTGAAGTGGAGGGTGTTACAGCGGAATAAGTGGGCCTACCCCACTTTCTTTGAACACCATCAAGTCGAAGCTTGATTTCTGATGAACCAGGATCAGATACAGATGCTTTTGAAGCAACAGTTTCATGGGCTTCGGGATGATGAGATGGTTCGTGCACAGGAACAAATTCATTTGAGAATGCTTGTGAAACTTGAGCAACCCTTGATGTCAGCAATAGTTTAGGAAGATCATAGGCTTCAAATTTAAGAGAACATGAATGATTTCCATCACGTTCTTGATTCCTAAAATTGCCAATGCTCATCCCCTCAGAGCGCTCACTTTCAGGGATATAAGGTTGAGCACCCTTTTCCAGTGACTCTTGAACATAACCATTGAGAAATGAAAGTTTTCTGTCAACCTGCATGAGATAATATCAGGTCTTCATCAAAAACTGAAAGTATTAAAACTGGAAATAGTCAAAGCCGAGAAAGGGAAACAAACAAAAGAGACCAATATAAGGTTGTATTTTGTTTGTTTATAAAAATATCCATAAAATACAAGCGCTTGTACTTCTGTAAACAAATTATTCAATGATTCATAAGTCAGTTCCTTTATTTTACTTCAAGTTCCCCACTATGATAAGCACTGTGGATTTTGGTTGCTGATTTAATGTCAGAGGCCCAAACAGCTCAACTGATTAATTTAGGATAGCTATCAACATGACCGGAAATGGCATCTAATCATGGGGATTCCAACTTAATATGGAGAAAGAAAAACAAATAAGGGTTTATTTGGTTCAAAATCTAGTTAATGGATCATGGGCTTTCATCAAAAAGATTGAGATTGTTGAGGATAAATATAAAATAATAAATGTGTTCACAACTTCAAAATTTTATTTATGGTGGAATGCAGCATTCAATTTAGCATAGAAGCAGGCAAGAAGTTTTGAGTTCCACTTTGGGCATTCTCGTAGTCAAAATGTTTGTGTTTAGCACATCAAAAAGTACCATCCACACATAAAGGACTGTGCAGACAAACAAAATAACAAATGTGTGTCCTCACTAATAACTTAGCCTTTTAATTGAAGTAGAACCCATATCCAATAAGGCCAACCCTTTATTTTTCTTCTGATTTTTGGCATTAGATAACAGAAAACTTGCCATCACCTAATACTGAAGTCGTTAAAATGAACCAAACTTGGAATAGGGGTGAACTGTCAGTACAACCTCCCACTAAAATGACAAAAGTTAAATAGTTCTTGCAATAAACATAATAATTATTTAAACTTATTAGACAATATGAGACTACTTGTACCTTCTCTATGAATGGGCATATTAACTAACAGGGGAGCAACCAAGTGTAAGTGTATAACCATCACCTCAATATCTTCGCAACTTGCATCCATTGGCATTATGCTTTCAGCAGCATAAGCATCTAAACTGATGAGTCCCTTAAGTTCATACGCACGCTGTTGTAAATCTGCTGAGTTGGATGCTAGTAATTCTTCAATGAAAGATTGGCACTGCAGCGAGAAAATATATCTATTAAACAGAAAAGCATATTAATAGGTAGCAGACAAATTGTGCACAAGCAGCATGAATTGCCACTTCATCAGAACTATACATGCTGAATGGCTACGCATCAAACAGTATCTCATTTATACTTGACTTGAGACTGCAACCATTTTGTATGTCAGAAAACGTAATACAACAAAAATTACTTGCCTCGGGCAACATGCCAACTTTTCTCCCAGCTGCTATCTCAAAGGAATATATTTTTGTAAGCGCTGATACTGCATAGGCCTAAGGTAAGCAGAAAATAAAAACTTCAAAGGTAGTTTAATTGTTCAAAAGAATGGGGTTGTTTAGTAAGTAGAGAATTGGTCCAATTTTCAAGAAAAAATGAAAAATAGGAAATTGGAGAATAAGAAAAATTGAAAAAGAGAAAACTTGTTCACTAAACTCAATTTCTCCAAATTTGTAAACTCTCTCCATTCTTCCCTTTTTTTTTTTTTGGAGAATTCATAAACACAATTCTCCAAATGAAGAAGTGGAAAACACAGATGAACAGTAGCATAAAGGTCAAGAGATCAAATCCTACCAACAACATTAATGTTTCAATGTATTTGCAATGAATTTAAAATTAAGAATCCTAAAACACAGAGAATGAGCCAGTGCATAAGAGCACATCTAAGGAACCAACCAGGCATGGAAGGGTCACACTCAACTAAAAAATTTCATTATCTGCTAATCAATTTAATATGGCATGTTTCAAAAGTTTTGTAATTACTGCTCATCAACCTCACATTCCCCACCCATAGATTCAACTTATACCCTGATCCTATTCCAACTCTTTAGAGCTCCAGTCAGTTGACATATCAAGGACAGCTCAAATAATTTCATGAGTTAAATTTAACAAATATATATCTTAAATATGATCATATAGTAGGAGATAGGCATACATAAATTTTGTTTCCAGTACGATGAAAACTAAGAGAAGTAGCATATCCTCTTCTCAGATTACTCACTATAATACTATCTGAAAATGAATACAAATTATATTAATGTGATAAGAAATTAAATTATAACTTACTGTCAGTAATGGTAAAAACAACATTTTGAAATAGAATGATAAGGCATTTCCTTCTATTTTCCCATTATATAAAGCAATTATTAGTCTATAATATTCATTTCCCTTTAACTTGTTTTCCCAATCTTGGAAATGAGTCAATCCGCATTTTCATTCACTCTGCTCTTTTCACTTTTATATAGTATTGGGGCTTTAGGAAATGAACATAGTAATGATAAATCATAATAGAGGTGAACAAAGTATAACTTGTTAAAAAAGAGTTGTGCATAAAGTACAGATTGAACCAAATTCTATAAATTACTCAGGCAGACGAAGTGTGCAAAGCTCCCACATATGAATGGAAAAACTAAGAACATGTACACAAGTGAAACAATCAAGTAACATTTTATGATTTTAGTGAGTGCCAGTAAAAATAATAGCATGATGTCAAATGAAACATTAGTTCTATTACAAGTTCAAGACAAAAGAATAGGCAAAAGACTAGTACACAGAAATGGAGAGAAATCACATACCTTGACTATGTCATCAGTTGAATGTGCCTCTGCCACATCACATATTTTTCCAGTTATATATGCAGCAGAATACTTCCCATCAGCAGTTCCA